TCCTGATACCCTTGCAGCAGAGGAAAACCTACGTGGAACAGTCAGTACACCTGGCGAAAACGATGCGGTGCAACCTGTGTGACACGGCCTGTGCGGTGCAGCCGACGCGGTGCCGGTCTGCGTGGTGCAGTCTGTGTTGTGCACCATCGGCGGCACTGAGGCGGCGACCGGGCGCCGGCGGCGAGCACGGAGCCACCAGACCGCCAACCGGACCCGACTCCTTGGAAGAGGCAGTAGCAACCCCGAGGTGCAAGCTCCCTCTGGGGAGAGAAGGATGGCCGATCACCGGAAGTATTCGCAACCGCATGGGCATCTTAGGACATGGCTCCCAGGAGGTCTTCGGTGAGACCGAGCACAGGCCAATTGAGGTGCCATTGAACTGGGCCAGGCCGCGGTAACCTCGGGATATCCACTACGCGTAGGAGAAGCCCCACGCTAAAGTAACCTTTGGTGCGCGGGTTCAAAAACGCCCGTGGGGGCCCAACGCAACTGTGCAAGCCACTACTGCCGCGCCACTTCAACGACTCAAAGATCGGCGGTGCGCGACCGGAAATATGTTTTGCGCCAGCGGGCAACCGCGGAATCCCGCCAATTGGATCCGAACGCCCCGAATGGCACTTCGGAAGTGCTGCGAAAACAGACGCTGCGAGGGGCCACCGCGATGAGGTCCGCATCCCGATGACGTCTGACCAAGTCTGGCGTCATGGCCAAAATGGGCCCCATCCGCGGGCCTGGAATATGTCCGAACATCCTTGGGTAAAGTGCAACAGTACAGATCCCCATTTGTTCGAACATACATTCAAGCATATTTAAAAATATTCAAGTGTATTCGAAGATATCCAAAATTCAACCTCGACGATTTGGGACTTGAGCTGGAATTCGGGGCTGGTCCAAAGGCGGAAAACGGGCCGTCTGGTCGACCGGCCCCCCTCGCGAAACTAGTGCGCACTGCAGGGTGCGCCGCGTATGCATTGTTGCCGATTGAAAGGGGGGGGGGGGAGGGGGCAAACCTGGCGCGCTCAGACGCGAGCGTTATCACGCGATGCGGGAGCCAGCGCGAGGTCAAGCCCATTCCACAAGGAAAATCACCCGACCCCCTTGGGGCCAACACCAAAGGTCACTCAGACGAAGGGTCATTCTTACGTGCATTCGTACTAAACCAGACTCACCGGGATTATGCAGAACTGGGCAGGATTTCTGGCCACGGGTATCACAGCGCCGATGCTGATTAAACCATACAGAACTTGTATCCTGATATGTTCTCATTTCTGGACGCCGTAGATCGATATGCCTAGTTGGATGATCAGCAATAAAAGTGCCTAAACGTGCCCCTCATCGTTTAGGAGAGGGGCTCAGTTAAGAGGGCCCAGGAACACTAGGCATAGGGGGCCTCTTTGATCTGCAGGTGTCACGCATGAAACCACCCACCTGTTTCGGGATAGCCCTAAACACTTAGGGCCTATGTAAGCTCGCGAGTTCAATGTTGCATTCACGGCGAAGGGTCCTTAGAACCCCCCCATGGGGGTAACTTATCATTGAACAACTCATTTTGTAGGTGGCCTTATTGACGAACTGGGGTCCGACCGGTAGGGGTAAGTAATTATTGTCTAGAGGAGCATGAGGGGGAGGCGAAAAGAGCAGGAAGAAGAGGACGAGGAGGAGGAGGACGAGGAGGAGAAGGAGAAGGACGAGGAGTGGGAGAGGGGCAAACTAGGTGCGCTCGCGTCATATCTGACGTCCTACCCCTCCCTCCCATCACTTACCATGGCGTAGATATCCTTTCTATTCGCACAGTCGGATGTCGAGCTGGGCAATGATCGCGAGACGGTACGCGATGCATGGTAGAGCCCTGCGTGGCATGACGTAGAACACGGCAAAGCGTAGCATGCCATAATACGGCGTGGCATTGCGCAGTGAAGCGTTGCATCACAAAGCATTGCATCGCAAAACATGGCATCGTACTGCGGCGCAAAACACAACACTGCACACCATGTCATGGCATGGCGCCGGGTCCTTTGGAGGGTGAATGGATCGTATTCGGGAGGTTTGGGCCAGCCTGGAGTCGTGGCTCCATGTCTAGCTCCTTCGGATCCCCGATGGAGAGCACCCGCTGGCCCTGCTTCCAACCTCGTCTTCCCAAAGCAGAAAGGGAGCTCCCGCTTGATACTTCCTGAAAGCGGCGACGTCCCAAAGCGGTGGGGGGCTTCTGCGGCCCAAAAATCAATGAATCGACACTGAATGCATAATCACTTCCGATGGATTCTTCGGGGGCCATTTTCCAAATGTTGGGGCCCAATTGGAAGGACGAAATCGCCTGCGCTGCAGCGGGAGCACGATTTGGAACAACCACAGGCGCAGAAATGGGGCCAACGCTTCAGCGGTAACGCGTTTTGATAACAAACCCAAATGAAAACCCATGTCCCGGGAATCCTGTGCAAAAAACAATACGCAGAGGGTGGCCGGATATCTTCCGGACGTCGTCAGGGGAGAGGGGAGAGTAGCATTCATGCTGTATTACTGTGGACGAGGAGGCGGAGGAGGTATTAGGACCAGCCCTACTCACCGCTGAAGAAAAGTGGGGTGGGGGGGGGGACAAAAACCCAGAAAAAACCCTTAGGGGTTAACGAGTGGATGCGGCAAAACGTGAGACGGAGGGAACTCACGCGCGCCCTTGCGCGGCCCGCTTGCGGGCGAGCGTCCTCGCAGTCGTTCGGACGTCCGTTCCCCGTGCCTCTGTCGGTTCCGCGTCCTCGCCGAGAAAAGAAGGCACGCGTCTGAGCATGCCAAGATGAAGGGGCCCCAGGACACACAAATGAATAATTACACACAAATCACAGGATTCCCCATATTTTCCATATTTTCTGGATTTTCGTCTTCCCCCCCACTGCCCATAGTTTCCCATATTTCCCTGGGAATCGACGATTGCTTGTGTCTGTGTTTTTTCCCCTCCCGACGAGAGGCGAAACATGGACCACCGCCACCGAGAACCCACTGGGGCCAGCCCGAGCCCCGGGCGGTGGCACGTCCGAAGCGTCGGCCCCGCGCTGGGTGGCGGAGGTGCGTGTTTCTCTTCTGGCCCGGGTCGCTCCTGCGGGCAACTCCCGGGGGCCTCCCATACCGTCTTGCCGGCTCCTGCGGATCGGCGCTGAGCGACGCTAAACGACGCAATATCGAGGCTATGCCGACGCTACGTCGGCGCTCCCTCACGGACTCCCAGACGCTAATCGACGCGAGAAGACGCTAAAGACGGCTTGGAGAGGATGTACCTTATGCTGGTCCCATCTTACTCGAGGACCATATCCCAGAAACACTTTCGAGTACCCGGGAAATTGTCGACAAAACGTCGAAGCAGTGTCGAACGAGCGTCTCCCAGGGCCCGACACGTGAGAACCCTCGAGTTTCGGTCTTCTTGTTCGTGCTCGAAATTATTCGAAGTCGCTGATTCGCTTCTCTTGTCAAGATGCACGCGCTGTGGCCACTGATGGCCGTGCACCGCACGGGGGCGCGCGGCGATCGCGAAGCGTCTCGACCCCGACCGCTCACTGGGTGGACCACTGCACGAGACTTGCCCACAAGCCTTTCCTGGGTGTTGGCGCCCACCGCGGTCTGGTATGAAGACGATCTGGACTGAGCGGGCTCCACGAGGTGGAGCCATGTCCGCGACGAAGGTGCGGTGGCTCTCTTACGTCATGCGCTCCCTCGCCTCCTCCTCCTCCTCCGCGCGATGAGAAGGAGCAGGAGGAAGAGGAGGAGGAGGAGGAGGAACAGGAGGAGGAGGAGGAGGGGGAGGAGGAGAGGGAGCAGGAGGAGAAGGAGAGGGGAGCAGGAGCAGGAGCAGGAGCAGGAGGAGGAGGAGTCGTGCGCTCCCTCGAGGAATGAATCACAACAACTGCGTGAACATCTTCTCGCGGAGAGCCGTGCGAAAAAACAAGTTCCTGGGTCGGCGCGGTGGGCCCGCCGGCGGCGCCTCCGAGCACCGCCCCCCGCGCAGCACCGGCCCGGGCGCTGCGCCCCCGCGGCGCCGCGGCACTGCGGCGCCGCGGCACTTGCGCACCCCCTGCGCGCACTGGGCACCAACCGAGGCATGGCACATACATATATGTATATATATATATATATATATATATATATGTATGTATGTATGTATGTATATATATATGTACGTATACATATCTGTAAATATATATACATATATATATATATATATGTATATATATATATACACAGTCGGCCTCGGCTGGACAGGACACGCGAGAGCACACGAGAACCTTCCGAGGGCCACGTCGCCATAGGAGTGTAAGAAGGCACGGGTCGCGAGGCACAGGACACAAGGGTACCCTTGACTTCGCAGGGTCCACCTACTGATCCGGGCCGACTGTATGCCGAAAGCCAATTTGGCGGCGAGCGGGGGGGGGGACATTGATAAAAGGAAGGCAGTCTCAGAAGGCGGCGGGACTTCTCAGATGCCCTCGCGCTTTCCGAGAAGTGTCCCGTGTCTTCGGGGAGGGCTTTACAACACTTGTCAGAAGGCCGGGGGACTTCCGAGCCTTCTGAGAAGGCGTGCCCCCTCTCACTTCCCCTCCTCGCTCGCCGCCGATCAATTTCCTGTGCCCAGTGAAAGCAACCTGCGATACAAAAAATCGGGTTAGATGCAGCGGCGTCCGGAAATACAGTTCAGCGCAGGAGTTGCATCGGACAAGCAACTTCGCGACGAAGTGGTACTTCGTGCGGGGACGAACGCGAAGCCAACGATGTATGGAATGTCACATCGCAAACTACAATACAGAACATCGACGTTGATAGGCACATCGATATCGCCGATGTGGAAGTAAAAATAAACTACCTGATGCCAACCAGGGAAATATCTGAACTGCGAGCGCAAGTTGGAAATGCAGTAAAGGTCAATGCTGGCTGCGACTGTATGAAAGTGAGTCGCCCTTACAAGGTAGAAACGTGTGAGCAAACCAACTGGCTCCCAACGCTCCCCGCTGGCATGGCACCTACACGGAAGGCGCGGCTGCTCCTAAGACCGTCTGCCCACGAAGACCTCGTCGAAGTGAAACCGGCTCCACGGCCCGTACGGCGCATCCCACAGCCCGTCGATGTTGCCGACGGTTGAAGAAGAAAACAAACTCCATAAGCATAAACTTTCGGCGCTCCGCGCGGGGTTCTGGGATCTGCGCTGGACCCCCTTTCCCTGGCGCGCGGAGCGCGCCAAATGCCGCGCTGGAGGCGCCGCCGGTGGGGGTAGCGCGAATCCGAAAAATCCGCGCGGAGCGTCAAACGTTGGTTCACGCCATTGTTTCTTCTTCGAGACGGAGACCTCGAACTCCAGGTCATTGGGCCGCACGATCATGCTCATCTCGGTCAGGCCCTCAGACACCTGATAGGTCTGTTTTCTACCACCACCACCACCATAAGTTGGAGGGGGATGGAGTATTCCTCCTCCTCCTCCTCCTCCTCCTCCTCCTCTTCTTCGTCCTCCTTCTCCTCGTCCTCCTCCTTCCCCCCTAACAACTTATGGTGGTGGTGGTGGTGGAAAACGCGCCCATCAACACCGTCTGCATCAACACCTTCATCTCCTCGGTCCCTACCGGCCGCCCTGCCCGGCGCAGCGCGGAGAGTCGGGATGAGCCCGCTTTGTATCGCCACAGGGACGTGAACATCACCGGCCTGCCGAAGACCTCCCGAGGCCCTGCCGCACAGCCCTCGTCCCCGAAGGCGCCGCCAACCCACTGGGCGTCCTCGCACCCTCGGACCATGTCTAGAAGACGGAGAAACGCCATAAACAGAAACTTGTGGCGCTCCGCGCGGGGTTCTGGGATCTGCGCTGGAACCCGCGGAGGCGCCGCGCAAGGGGGCCCAGCGCGGATCCAAGAAATCCGCGCGGACCGCCACAAGTTTCTGTTATGGCGCTGCTTGTTCTCCGAATGTTGTGGTTGGCGACCATGATCGCGTCCTCCAGGAACGGCATGAAGTCGGAGCTGGCGGCCGTCCGGATCTGGCCGCCCTCGTGGTCGCCCTCGTACACGACGGCGCCCCCGTGCGGCTGGCCGTCGTAGGGCTGCGCCACCAGGAGCTCCTGCCCGCTCACGCGGATCCCGCCGCTGGGCGCGGCGACAGCCCAGCGGCGCGAACGGGAGCGTGGGGAGAGGTCATGCCAAGGCTCGGCGGCGAGCTGAGGGGGGGAATGAGAAGCAGAAGGCCCCCCGAGAAGGCGGCGGGACTCCTCAGAAGCCCCCGCGCCCTCTGAGAAGTGCTTCTGTGCCCTCGGGGAAGGCTCCTGAAACTTTTGAGAAGGCTGGGGGGGACTCCGAGCCTAAGTCGGGCCTGTCCCCCTACAGGGGGATTTGCGACGAAAAAAAAATACACCAAAAATAATCAAAAAATAATGCAACAATAGCCTGGGGACTGTTTTTTGACTATGCTTTGACCTTTTTGGTGTACCGTTGGTGAATCTTTTGTGTTTTGTCGAACATCCCCCTGTATGGGGCACACGCCCGACATAATCCGAGCCCTCTCGAGAACGCCTTCTCCTCCTCGCTTCCCCCCCCGTCGCTCGCCGCCGGGACGGCAGGGCTCTCCCGCCGGAGCCGTGCGGGGAAGGGCCACAGACGTACCCCCCGGGCCGACGCGGCCCCAGCGAGTCCCCGACAGCCTGCCGCAGTGTTCCAGCCGCGGCGCGCGCCGGAGCGCGGCCAGGCGTCCCGAGGTGCGCCTGGAGGCCTTGCCAGGTCGTAGGTCTGCCCTGGGGTATAGGCCTGGCCTCCCCTTGCTGTGCCCTGGCCTTCCAGGGTGCCAGACACTAGCTCTCCAGACCTATAGACCGACCTGGGCTGCGCACTTCAAGCCTCGACAGGGACTCAGGCGTCGAGGTCCTGGTGCTATTTAGCGCTCCTAGAAGCTCAGGGGATGCTGCCTCCTCGAAACACCTCTTGGGAGCCTCTTCTGCTGGGGCAAAGAAAACGGGTCCTGGGGAAAGCGGGCCCACGCACCCCTGGCACCAGCTCCTCGTCTCGAGCCGTCGGTTGACGGACCAGGGGACCCGCGAACGTCCCCAAGACGTCGAAAGCAGCCAGAAACCTCTAGGGCCCGTCGCCCTCAGGACCCGCTCCTCCATGGCGATGCTAACATCGGGTGCGACGAGAAGGGGGTGCTAAGAAGGTCGAGGCTGGTGCAACATGCTCCGAGGCACGTGCGCGAACGAGGGGGTGCTGTGGAAACGACTCGAGAGAAGGAGAGGGGGCCAAGAAGTCTAGAATTGAATCCCACCACCACCCAGGCCCCCGAAAGCCCTGAGATCCGACGGTGCGATAAAATTGCAACATCCCGGAACATCACGATCGGCACCCAAGTCCCCCGCTTTCTGAAACGTGTTTCGAGCCAAACCGACCCGTGATGGTCCTGGGGCCCGAAACCGGGCGAAACGCACGGCGTGATGACATCACACTCCTCAAAAAATACATCAGAAATCCACCGGAATCAATCGCAAACCCGAAAAACGACCAAACGAAAACAAGCGCGCACAGCCTCTCGTGAACGCTTTTTCACTCGGCGTTTCGACATTGGGCGGAAGGGTGGGGGGAGGGGGGGGGTCCGGCTCCGGACATCTGCGTAGTGCGACTGTTCACAAAAGTGCGCCCTATGGGGGAGACTCCGCCCGCTCGAAACAGGTGCCAAAGACAGCCAAGATCTGCTCCAGAGAGGAGTGGCGAGGGGGCGCGAGGGCCCGCGCCGACAGGCAAAACAATGACTAAGAACTAAGAAAATGACCACCTGCTAAAATTAAAAGGATTCCCCCGGGGCAGTAGGCGACCCGAGGAGGAGGAGGCGGAGGAGGAGGAGGAGGAGGAAGAGGAGGAAGAGGAGGACGAGGAGGAGGGGAGGAGGAGGAGGAGAGGAGGAAGAGGAGGAGAAGGAGAGGGCGGAGGTGGAGGAGGAGGAGGGGAGAAGGAGGAGGAGGAGGAGGAGAGGAGGAAGGAGAGGGGGAGGGGGAGGAGGAAATGGAGGAGGAGAGAAGGAGGAGGAGGAGAAGGGAGGAAGAGGAGGAGGGGGAGGAGGAGGAGGAGAAGGAGGAAGGACCAGGAGGAGGAGGAGGAGGAGGACGGCTCGCCTAAGCCCTTCGGAGAAACCCTCCAGCTACAATTGCGCAAACCAGCAGAACAACTACCAGCACTCTCTCCGGAGGACACGGCCGCCCCCTCAAAGCGGCCCCACCGCTCCCGCGGCGCGCCGCCGCGCGCTGGCGTGGATGGCCTGCAGGAGCTCGGCCGGCCCCGCGCGGGCCCCGAGCCGGGCGTTGAGCACCCCGAGGATGGCCTCGCCGCCGCCGCCGCCACCGCCCGCCGCCGCCGCGCCGCGGTCACCGACGCCGCCGCTTCGCCGTCGCCGCCGCGCCGCAGCCGCCGCCGCCGCAGTCGCATCGTCGCCGTCGTCGTCGTCGCCGTCGTCGTCACCGTCGTCGTCGTCGTCGTCGTCGGCGGCATCGGGTTTTCCATCGACTGAGCCTGCTTGGGGCTTCGAGCTTCGACGAGGAGGCAGCTGGGCCGTCGCTGTCGCCGCCGCAATCGTCTCGTCGTCGCCGGCGTCGCCTCGGTGTTGAGGGGGTGGCCCCCGCCGGAGCCGAAGGGGCTCGGGCGCCCACAGCCGCCGTTGGAGGCGCACCACAATCCAGCGGAATTCAGTCCCGTCTGCACGCCGACGGCGCCGGCCCAGAGCACCGAGACGAACCGGCGGCCAGCCCGCTCCTTCAAGAATCCCATAACTGCGGTGGCACCATACATACATATATCTATACACATGTACACATATATATATACACATATATATAGATATCTGCTTGTATGTATATACATCGACAATTTCCCACAACTTGGCATCGCTCGGACCTCCATTTCCCCGTGAATGTGTTTCAAGCTTTATGTACTTTGCAAGATGATCCAGGATGCTCATCAATGGCCTCCGTCAAGAAGACAGCACACGTCCGAGAGATGCCAAGACACACTGCTCGCACTTACATGGAGGAACGAATAATGGCATAAACATACTAACTCCGAGGTCCGCGCGGACTTCTCAGATCCGCGCTGGACCCCCCTCCCTGGCGCGCGGAGCGCGCCAGGGGCGGCGCAGGAGGCGCCGCCAGGGGGGTCCAGCGCGAGGAGTAGGAGGAGAAGGAGGAGGAGGAGGAGGGGGGAGGAGGAGGAGGACGAGGACGAGAGGAGGAGGACAAGGATGATGATGATGAGGAGGAGGAGAGGAGCAGGAGGAAGGGAGGACGAGGAGGAGGAGGAGGAAGAGGAGGGAGGAGGAGGAGGAGGAGGAGGAGGAGGAGGAGGAGGAGGAGGAGGAGGAGGAGGAGGAGGAGGGGGGTGGGCAGGAGGGAGGAGGAGAAGGAGGAGGACGAGGAGGAGGGGGAGGAGAAGGGGGAGGGGGGAGGAGGAAAGGGAAGGAGGAGGAGAGGAGCAGGAGGACGAGGAGGCGGAGGAGGAGGAGGACGAGGAGGAGGAGAAGGGGGAGGAGGAGGAGGAGGAGGAGGAGGAGGAGGGGAGGAGGAGGAGGAGGAGGAGGAGGAGAGGAAAAGGAGGAGGAGAGGAGGAGGAGGAGGTGTGGTGGGGCTTCGTCTGCTGGGCGGCCGTGGGCACCCCTGGGCGTGCCGAGGTTTCGGCTGCTGGGCGGCCGTGGGCGCCTCGTGAGGCTCGTAGGGGCCCCGTGCGCTGGCTGTGTCGAGGTTTCGCCTGGCGGGCGGCCGTGGGCGGCGGCCGTGGGCGCATCGCTGGCGTGACTCACAATCGGTATCACACCATCGATCGCACATGCGATCTCACGATCGATCCCACTGCCGATCTCACTGGATCGACTTCACTATCAGTCTCACGACCGACCTGTATCTCCTTTCAAGATCAATTCATGATCGATCTCAGAATCGATCTCAACTTCCACATCACCAATCTTCAGGCCATCCACTGATTGGGTGTTTCTCTGGTGTAATGTAGTCTGCACCACTTTGGCCCAAGACGACCCCCGGATCGCCCAAGAGGCTTCCGAAAGGGTCCCAATGCGACCCAAAAGCGCTCCAAGAGCGGCCCAAAGAAGCTCCAAAGACTGCTTCCAAGGGCTCCAAACAGGCGAATAGCCCTCCAAGACGGCCCAAGAGGCCCCAAAGAATCCCCAGGCAGCCCCCAACAGGCCCCCAACAAGACACCAGTAGAAGGCATCAGAACAACGATTTTCGATCGGTTGTGTAAGGATGTTGAGGTTCTCGCCTGCTTTGGTTTCCGATCGCCCAAGACGGCCCAAAAAGCCTTCAAGCTATCTCCAATGCTGCCTGCGAGGCTCTCCAGAGGGCCCCAAGTCGGCCAAAGAGGACCCCAAGATCGGCGGCCTCAAAACGCTCCAAAAATGCACCAAGACGGCCCCGGAAGGTCCTCAAGACGGCTTCCGAAGGCGTCAACGAGCCAGGAGCTCCCTGGGGCAAGCCCCAAGAGGCCCAGGAGGCACCCCAAGAGTGCTTCAAGAACCCCTCCGGGAGAGCCCGATGAGGCGAACCACCGCGATGTGTCGTAGGTGCTTGCTGGATTTTAAAGTTCTCGATTGTTTGGGCTTACGACCGCCCCATACTGCCCAATTGGCCTCAAAGATAACTCTGAGACATCCAGGGGGGGCCCCAGAGGGCCCCACGTCGGCCCAAAAGGACCCCAAGACCACCCAAGAGGCTCCCAAGAGGGCCCCGAGGCGGCCCAACGCGCTCCAGAGAGGCACCAAGACGGGTTGAACAAGTCCCCGAGACAGCATCCGAAAGCGCCAGACGAGCCAAGAGCTCCCTGGGACGGCCCACCAGGCCCACAAAAGACACCGAGAGGCCCCAGGAGGCTCTGAAGAGCCCCCCAAAGGTCCACAGGAGACTCACAGGAAGCACCCGGGAGGCCCCAGGAAGGGGGCCCATGAGTCTGGCTCCTCCTCGTCCTCATTTGGTCA